TAAACAAAATCACAAAGCAACACGAACGCACATCTTTCTGTAATTTATTCACTTAAATGAGCAAGAGAAGATCAACTGTAGATTTTAAATTCATCTTATAGTCTCATTTTATATACTGTTTTCCGTAACGAACTGTTCCGAGAATGTTGCTCTTACATTAGCGCTGCTAGCCTGTTTCTTAAGTTCCATGGTCGGAAAAAAAATACGAATACCAGAAATTCATAGGGAGTTTGGACTAAAAATTTCCAGCAATCCTATATTTCATTTAGATTGTTCGTTCAGGCGATGCTACGTATCTGACCTACATTATTCTTGGATCTATACAACTTCAGTCAACAGGGCTTTGTTAACCCAATAATTAAATGAAAAATACCTCGTTTTTGAATCGGATTTGCATTTTAGTTTGGCGATTGTAGTATTTATACTAGTTGATGATTCCTTTGTGTTTGACTGAACACTGATTACGAATTATGGATATAATGCGTTCATCTGTGCTCATCTAGTTCTATCTGGTTTTACATGGCTTAAATAACACTAATTCCGAAATCACTGACTAGCATATTAATTCAAATACTTCTAGTTATCACAATTTTGCATGAGCCTTTTACGAGATGGTCTGCACCTTTTAAAATTCAGTCACATAGGCGACTGCAGTTTTGGCAAATGGTTACTATCTGATGGACACTTACTGTTGTCTTACACGATACACCATAACTTGAATTTCCTAATACTTGTATACCATGCTACTTTTGTTTTTTGTTTGTTTACATGAAATAAAGGTTCTGCAAATACCTAAACAGCCTCTCAAACTTTCCGAAGACCCCACCATAATTTCCAAATATATTTGTGTTTGCGCACTCAGCTATTAAACTAAGGTTACCCTAAACAAAAGTTCGTCATGACAGTCAGTATATATAGCACCGATACTATTTTGCCGTGACATTAATACATGCGTCCGAACCACTGTAATTATTCAAATTTGATGCCATAATTTGTGCATTTTACTCAAAATAAATTGAGGAGCCCTAAACATTAAGCTTAGTCATAGGTAATCGGCCATTCTTGCGTCACAACTGCTAGACCACGTAACCCGTCATAAATGTTATTTTTACATATGTAATATGCAAAGATTTAAGTGGTTGTTTTCCATGCAGTGTTCACTCATCAACATTGTAGAATCTAATTCATAACGATTTTTCAAGACTACCATGTAGGAAAATAGCAGTCACGAATTGCGACTGGTACAATCGAAACAGCTGTCAAAACAAACTCAATCGGTCGATTGGCTTATATGATTATTAATTACATGAAATACTGTTTCCTCGTGGTTCTTGTCTAAAAGATAATCACGGTGCAAATATAGGCTATTCCAACACTGGACGATTTCCAACCTGTACAGTTTAATTAACGATCTGACAATGCAACTATTTGCACAAATCGTAAGTTTGCGCAGTAGTGCTTGTCTTGTTGCTTCCGTCGCCGCACTGACAGTGTTTTGAACCAGTATAATTAGCGTGAATCCAGATCGACACTCTTGGGTTCTTTTTTTTCGATCCAGCTATCAAACACGTAGGCAACACTTGCCATCCGCAATTTTGTAGAGAGAGATTTATTATTGATCTGTAGTCTATGGCCGTTACTGATTGTGGCAACAATCATCAGTTTTTCAAACTCTAACTGCTCAGTGATTCACAACCTCCTACGATGCAATCAGGATTTCTTTTATCCACAATTATACTTTTGTACTTGCAGTTATTCTGCGAAATATGAAAAAAAAATTTGGCTCTTACGAACAGAAATCTGTCGCAGCGATAAATAAACCCTCAACATAAATACTACCGTAGGTCTTCAACATTTCTGCTGACCACGTTCGTTCTACTGGACACACCTAGCCTGAGGCTCTCCGCCATTCGTCAGCACCAGGTCAAGAGCGAGTACACCGTGCTACTCATACCTTCTAACCGCTAGCCAGTCTAGACCAAACCCATCTCTCCATATCGATAGCCTACCAAATATATCTTAGATCCACCCCTACATAGTTGGCGAGATTTCGGACAAATAAATGTGAAGTAAATTCATGTGCATGTGTACAAGAAGACTCGACATTGCAAGCAAACAATTAATTAATTAAGACGTATGATGTACATAACAAGTAACACCAAGAACTTCGACTGTATGGAAGCCCAACTAAAAGCGTTCTGACCTCACAGTAAAGTCGTCACCATCCCGAGAACTGTGATCTGGCCCATCTCAAAGTAGACTGACAATTAAATTTTCTGTCTAAGCTTTCAGGAATGCTTTTCAAAGTTTCTAGTGCATAACTGGCAATAAAAGACAAACGAATCAACCATGTCAGGAAAAGATATCCTTTCCACATTCTGTAGTGTATGGAATATTAGTCAAGTACCTGTGGTTTCTTAAGGGATGCCTGTAAAGTTTTTTTGAAGCTATCACTGATGAGAGTTGTGGGTGATGTTTTGACATTCTGATCAGGTGTTGTGCGTTATCGGAAAAATTTGTAGTTTATTAAAACCCAGCAACTGGAAGACAGATAAAAAGAGGAGTACTACGGAATAATGCTTTTGTCAGTAGCCATTTCATCAGGAAGACAACTATTTTCGTGGGAGGAAGTCTACATAAACAAAGCTTTCTTATTCAAATGATACAGTCACCTACATGCAAAAGTGAGCAATAATCAACCACTTCATATAATTTATGCACTTTTGATTTTTGGGTGTTTTTGCTTCATGACTTTAAGTGTATATTGTTCTCATTCCATTGAAAATTATCTGAATCAGTTGTTGAATTAACAGAGCGGGTATTATAATTTGTCAAGGTTGGATGTGTAAATAAGCTCTTTCGTTATCTTAAAGAAACACAAATTAGTTAAGTTTCACCGTAAGTTCATACCAGAAAGTTATAGGATCTGAGGCTCCGAGTGGTAAATATCTTAAGGTGGAGATATGGAATCTCAGTTACCATACTGTTTTATTCAGACATGATTCCCATATGTATACATATGGGAATAACTGTAGTTATTGAGCTCCTAGTATCTAGTGTTTAAAGTGAGTTTTTTTCAGACCATTCTTCCATAAAATAAAACAATAGATCTTTAAAAGATTCTGCACATAGACACTATTAGAACTGGTAAATAATCAAAAAATATAAGTATACTTTACTTACACTCATTGTCTCATGTCTTTTTTTAACGTGCTAAAAGAAAACCTTAAATTCGATAGGCGATTCGTGAACAAAAGTCATTGTTTTAAAATTAATATTTTTTTTATTGTAGTTTAATATTTAAAGGTTTAATGATCTAATGGTGATGAAATGTTATTGTGGAATAATGAGCAACGCATGTTTTGGTGATTTACCCCAAACTTTGGGGAAGGTTATTCAACTTTGGGAATTCCCCCCAAATTCTTTCAGACATTAGAGATTTCCCCAAAGTTGGGAGCTTGGGTAGTATTAATGAAAATCCATGCACAAATTTCTGCACACATATGTATTTTTGTACAGTGAAAATACTGATTCTGAAGTAATTAACACTCAAGTAACCTTGAAATATCCATCAACCAAGGTGGATGACGATTCCCAATGAAGCTTTTCAACTTTCTTGGCTTCAAATTTTCAGTCCATACTGTATGCTCAGAAAGACCCTCAGGTGCCATTCGGAATGTTTTCATATACTATCATTATTGATATTCACATACTGTCATATCTATTCAGTGTTAATTTAAGTTTGATATTTCCCATTTCACCCCTATTCAGTACTAAAAAGTGTTTAGAAAAAATCCTTTTCGTTGTGCCATTGAAGTTCTAGTGTTTGTAACGTCCAATTTCTCGAAGTTCATATGGTCAAGATTCTAATGTTTAGTCACGTTCTAAGCCATTTAGTGGTATATCAATTCTAGTTGTCAGTTAGGCAGTTATTTTCATGTTTCCTAAATCCGGAATTTATCGCAAAAAATTGTCGTCTTTACAATCAGTGTCAATGGTGAGATAAAATGTGTTAGCCTAAGTCTCCGTATATAATTAACACAATAGGATTTAACTAACAAGTTGAGTATTAATGGGACAAGACTATAATTTATCGACGAACAAATCAGATATCAGTCAGTCAGCTACAAGGACCAGCCATCGGTCCAAGTTGCCCCACTTCATAAGCACAACAAGATAAACACCGAATTCATGAAGTAGTTATGTGGTGTGTGCTGCTTATATTGACATAAGTAGTATTTGATGTTAGTCGTGAACAGAAGGTTTGGCAGCAGAGACACAAGAGAATCGAATAGTAAAGAATGAAAACAATGCAATTTGTATGAAAATGCAAGAACAATGAAGTCTGAGTCATTTTGAGAATATTGATGGACATTTTGCAAATTAAGCATTTGCTTTATGATTGTTAGATTTTATTAACAAGTCCTGTAATTTTGTGTTAAGTACATTTGATTGTCCCCACTGGTGTTCTTTTTCACTATATAATAATATATAAAAGAAGGATTGTGTATAAGGTTACAATACAGAAATAAAGAATTAGTTTGTAGAAAGAAAATCAGATATAAGATAACAAGGCCAAGGTAAGCTCTAGTTGGTCAAAAGAGATACATCCCACTCGTTTGTCAAAAAATGCGAAACCTCGTAAGCCTATTTTCCACTTTTGCTTAGTGCCTAAGTAGATCTAACCTCAGTATTGCTCCTTCCCTTTTTCCACGACACGCGAGTAGCGCTTCGAATATATTGAAAGGGGTCTTGATCAATCTGTGTCTGTGAATGTCGGTACTAATTTATGTACTCGGTTCTTCTGTTTTATGTAACATTATCCCTTGATTAAACCACTTAATAATTTCATGCCTTAATTTTGACATGATTTCTTTATCTTCCATATTTTCTAGTTCTTTTGTTCCACAAAAGACTACTTTGTCATGGATTTATTTCCATCCCATTTGTTTGTTATCTGTCGACACTAGTTCTGCGCGATTTTCCAATTTTTTTTTATCATGTCTTTGAGTGAAATAGTTGAGAATGTAAAGCAAGCACGAGAACTGGCTTTGCTTGGAAACTATGAAAGTTCGTTAACGTATTATTCTGTTGGTCTTGCTCAACTTAAGAAGTTCACTGTTTCAATTTCTGAAGCAAACCGAAAACAACAGTGGCAAACTGTAAGTTTTGTTGTCTACCGATGTTTGAGTAATATTTTGTATATTGTTAAAGCTAGTGATATTCCCGTTACCAAAACTGAGACAGGTGATGCAGGTTTCGGACTTGTGGCATACTGCTCGGCCGCTTCAACTGTTAAGCCATCGTTCCATCAGGTCGTATCAGTATCCGTTCCATAGAAATTGCTTGTAAATGAGGTCACACAACTGCAATTGGTAGATGGGTTACCTTGAAATTATGGATTGAGTTGCTTGGTCGTTTCAGTCCTTGAAACATCTCATTTTTTCACACCTGGAGGTATTAGTACTACAGTGCAACATTTATTTTAGCCAACTGTAGGTCTTTATTCCTGACCACAAGACCTTATATATTCGTTTAGTGTTTACTGTTTAGTTCATTTAGTCGATACACTTCTTACTGGCTGTTTTTGTTTGTCATAGGTACGGCAAGAGCTTACAGATGAATATGAACTGGTTAAAGACGTCAACCAAACGTTGTCTAGTTTCAAAATATCTGATGATGACTCGGGTTTGAGTGCTTTTGCCAGTCGCTATAATTCCCGTTCAACTGTTGAAGAGCCAACCAGAGACCCAGATGTTTGGCCACCTCCCCCTCCTCTCGAACGAAGGCACGGGAATAGTTCTCAAAACGCTGGATCAAATATTCAGCCAAATTCAGTTTCTAGCTCTTACTATAAGCCACCTGTTGCTCATGCTCCAGCTCCCCCTCCTCCATCGGTTAGCTCCAAGTCATCTAATAATACTGCGGGATCATTTCGTCGCAATGTCAGGCCCAGTCCGACGAATCCTCGATCTAAGGGTACCACTCAAACCTCTGGTAACGTTTCTGCTTTCTTATTCACATTTCATGTTCTCTTGTTTTCTTAAACCATTTTGAGTTATATATATATATATACATTTGAATAGTGATTTTTAGTTCGACATTTTTACCATAATGTTGCAAGTTTGTGGAACAAATGTACTTATATTTAATCTTTTATTCTTCACGTTTTATGACACCAAGAGTGATGGTGAAAAATTTGTTAAGAGCAAAGTATTGGTTTGAAGCAATACTATCCATAAATCGTTAATAAACGTAAGGAATAAGAAAACAGTGCAAATACAGTAATTATAGATATAACGCCCTCTAAATTTTTACCATTGTATCTTATGAAAAATTAAAATTTTAACGAACTATTGTCGTCCTCTGGTTTGTAAGCGTATTATGTTTCACCTCGATTTAAACTAGAATAAACCCTGGAGGTAGGGGATAATTGGATATCACCAAGACATTTCGTAATAATATGAATAAGTAGTTTTCACCTTCATTCACAATGTTCAATTGGGGTTGCCGGAAAATCCTTTGTTTATTTCTCAAGCCTAATAAAAACATTATGTCTCAGTGTACACTATTATGTCTAAACGCTTATTTATAGTTATTAAGTTTTGTACTAAGTTTTCCGCATCGTTTGACAACCTATTCAACTGGGTGATAGAAAGTAGCCATTTATCTCAAACAAATCTTGCCTTTGGGTTATTTATGGTTTATTTTATTGACTTTATTTAGCAAATAATCGTCGTGTCAAATCTGGATCTCAACCTACTGGGGATGCTACTACCACTGCTAACAATAACAATGAAGAGAAATTTGATGCTAGTGGATACGACAAAGATCTTGTGGAAACACTAGAACGCGATATTGTTCAACGTAATCCAAATGTTCGATGGGATGATATAGCTGCATTAGATGATGCAAAACGTTTACTTCAAGAAGCTGTAGTTCTCCCAATGGTTATTCCGGGTTTCTTTAAGGGAATACGTAGACCATGGAAAGTAAGTTGTTTGGTGTGTTTTCTAATACATCACCACCCCCACATATATAGCATAGTCCAAAGTTGACTATGCGAATCATAATGGAATATAATGTAATAACTTGCAAGTGGTGATTTGATTTATGTTATTAATGAGCGGCATCATTTAAATTGACTTTTATCTTTATCTTTAACGTAAACTATTGTTTTATTGGATTTCTGCATCTTAATGTTTGTATTTTCGTTTCTCATTCCCTTTTAGGGTGTATTAATGGTTGGTCCGCCTGGTACGGGCAAAACATTATTAGCTAAAGCTGTTGCAACAGAATGTGGCACCACATTTTTCAATGTTTCCAGTTCTAGTCTAACAAGTAAATGGAGAGGTGAATCAGAAAAATTAGTCCGTCTTTTATTTGACATGGCACGTTTCTACGCACCAAGCACAATATTCATGGATGAAATCGATTCAATCTGTTCTCGACGTGGTGGTGAATCAGAACATGAAAGTTCTCGGCGTGTTAAATCTGAACTTTTAGTGCAAATGGATGGTATGCTTTGATTTGATTGACAGGAAAATCTTCTAAGTTTTTTTCTAATTCTCAAAGGATTTAAATTTGTGTTTAACCCTTTCAAATAACTAGTAGTTTGTAAATAATGAATATGATGGTTGGTTATATTTTCTGGACTCAATTTACACGTCTTGATTACGTTGGCGTATGCACTTAATTTGCTTTTGTCCAAATTCCATCATTTTTTATTTCGAGTTGCCCCATGCTTCTTAGCTCGTATGCAGAATAACTTAAATGTCGAAGAGCTTCTTTTAAAGTTATGCTATTAAAAAGATTAAACCACGTACAAATATTTTAGCAGACGTTTACGTTTTGTCCGAATTCACGGTACTTAGTTAAAACTCTTGTATTATGCAATCAATAATAACTAAATATGTGGAAAGTATACTGAACTTATTTCCTAAAATCTGAAGTGGGGAGTAACCGATAACGACTGAAACAGGATCCTTATGTGATCTTTTGTGTTTGTTGTGAATCCAAAAGACTTTTATTTAAATGATTTACGTTTATTTTGTCACTTAATGTGTAAATGTAAGTTAACATAATAAACGATCCAAAACACAACTCTCTTTGGTATCAACTAACGTTTTCGTGTACTATATATAGTTCGTGGGATCATAAGGTCACTAGTCTGACATAATGCTTATCTTAGTATAAGTCTATTACTTTATATAGCGAATATTCCCTTATAAATTAGGATTATTTTATATTATCAATAATGTTTGATATTGAATACCAGTTGTTACAATTTCTTCTATTACGACTAAGCTGCTGCTATTGCTTAGTATTCTCGGACATTATTTCACTCGACAAGTCTCCAAATCAGAACATGGTTGAACAGGAACGTAATTATACTCCAAATAAAAATGTTGGATGAAAATAGGAATCACAATAAAAAACATTAGAATATTTGTGATTTTCACACAAGAAGGTTTTAGAGTATCCACCATCGCTGATTGCTTAAGAAATAGACAATAGCGTGCCCCGATATAGTCCTGCGCGGAACATGCTTCAGTCCAATCTTCATCTCGTTAACACCAGTGTTTGTTGAAATCGAAGTGTGGAGCACTGCAATATTCGTTCTTCAACACTAATGGCAATTACAACAGTAATTGTATTCTAAAATCATATATAGAATATCTTACGACTACTTAGAAATTATTGTATCGACGCTGAGATAGTCGAGATAAATTTAGCCATCTTAATGTTAGTAGATGGTTGTCATTCATCGAAGCTATCGCTTTTAAATTTTAATCACTAAGCTTTGAACCCATATATAAGTTAAAAATTTCATCTTAACCAATTTTGTTGTCTTCAGGCGCTTAATCTCATTTCTTATGATACTTATATAAATGAGCATATATTTGTTGTATTACTTTAAGTATTTCCTGTACTTAAAGTTATCTTTACTTCTCAAGGAGTAACAGGAGCTACAGGACAAGAAGAGGATCCTACAAAATCTGTTATGGTTCTTGCTGCTACGAATTTCCCTTGGGACATTGACGAAGCTTTGCGTAGACGTCTTGAGAAACGAGTGTACATACCACTTCCAAATGGTATGATATTTGTGTGAAGTATTTGCCTTACGATATTAGGTTTTTCGAATTTATGTGGAATTTCGCGGGTAATTCATTTTCACCATTCTTTACAACTTGGCCAGGCTCTGTTTAGAGTCTGTTACATTGCATTTATTTCTATCTATATTCACATTTCCCATTCTACCTATCTTCTAGACTTTGACATGTTATCTAATGTTCTGACAGTTTATATTTTTATCAACTGAATATTGTCCTATCAATTGTGATCATCTTACAATAAATCTGTTCTAACAGTATGATGTTCGCGCTAAATTAATATATACCTTGTCATTTTCAAATGTTTCCAAGTGATAGATACTTTCTAAAAGCTAGTCTTATTGGAATCGATATAAATGGGAAAGCAAACAAATGTTATACACAGGTATATTTCAAGTGTATTATGTGACATTTTGAAAAGGCTCAACCTTTGGTAAATCCCATTTTCTAAAATATCTTGGCAAAGACATTGGGATGCCATACCCTAAGGTGGAATGTACAGTTTTAAATGTTCGATAATTACATGTCAACAAATCTGAAAATAGTAGTCATTCTAATAGTTCTGTTCTATAAAGTTTTATAAAGTAAAAGTTTGTGTATGTAATCTTGATCATAAAGACTTAAACTTAACATCTACATATACTTGGGAATTGCCTTCATCATCACCCACAAAGCTATTGAAAACCAAGGTTCATTGTACAGGTGTTTTAGATCAATCTGATTTAATTCAACAGTTATAATTGATCCATTAAAAAGTCTAACTCGTGAACTGCTAATCTCATCCTGAACATGTTGCTATCTACTCAATAAGCAATGAGGACTTTCTACGAATTAATCGTATCTATATCAACTGCTAAATTAGAATACATGACTTTAAAATTGACATACAGTTCGTTTCTGTGTTTGTTACTTTCTCAGTAAATCTATTGACTAAGTATTTTACAAACTGTTTGATTAACAGTTATACTAATCATAATAGTAAAAATATATTGTCATAAATGATTATCTTCCAAATGCTCTGGTACAGTTGAGGGTGGAGAGAGTTCTCTCTCCCTCTCGATATGCTCTTACACGATCATGCATATACAGCCACTACCAGGGAAGTCCTACTCACTACCTTCTCGCGGCATTACTGTTGTTTACGAATTTTAGAGGACGAAAACCGAATGTCCGGCACTTTAACAAGGTTGGTGGATATGTAAGACCCACCTAACGGACTTAGAAAACCCTGGTTCCAAACCAATGGTGTACATGGGCTCCAACATCCTGAGAGAACAAATGGAGTATGAACCAATTATTTGTCAGCGGCTACCATGGGATTGCATCTCCTGACATTACTCCACTGCCTTGTGGATCAGACCTTTAGGTCGAAGGCTCCGGGTGGGGCTCCCTAAGAAAAACTACCTGCTTCGGTCTGGGCGTTTGGGCAGTATAATAACTCTCACACAAATCAATGATAACTTCTACTAACCTCATTGTTATTATGTGTCGCGTATGTATTTGATATCCCCGCGTACCAATATTTCTGCGTTCAAGTAAATAAATAAATTTACGAGCATTGTAAAGTGAGTAAAAAAATGGTAACAAATAATCCGAGTTAATATGAATATTTTTGATGGAGTTGGTAATAGTATCAGGCATAAGATGTATAAAAAATACATGATTCCAGTTGATACCGTTTTCTAGTACAGAATTACTGACAGAATAGACGTCTTAATGGTCATAAATCCTGTATGTATAAAGTTGTTATTATTAAGTAATGCATGACAAAAGTAGTCAGATACGTCAAAAAGCCTAGATAACTACGACCTTATATGTGTTTTCTAATGGTAGATATCACATTTGTACCATGGAAAGTGTATTAAACACTTTAATCACTGAAGTTCATTTCGGTTTTCCACATCCCATCTATTATTGAATGGTACTGACTATCACCGCGTAAAGTTGTAATTGGTTAAGAGACTACAACGTTTAGTTTCTTGAAGTGAACCACGTTATTTAATTGACATTTGTTGAATAGGAGAAATGACGAGAATCATCTAATCGTACATTAGTTATTTAAATGATTTTATACTTTTGAACTGCTATGTTTTGTTTATTCAACAGAATTCATAAAAATAAATCTCATTGACTCAATGATTTGTTGAGATTCTTCCTAATCTATGTCGTCTTGATTTTGATTTACCTTAGTGACTGCACGCAAAACTCTGTTGCAAATCAACTTGAAAGACGTTCCTTTAGCAGAAGATGTTGATTTAGACAGTATAGCTGAACAATTAGATGGTTATTCCGGTGCAGACATAACGAATGTATGCAGGTATATAAATAGTTACAATTTTTGTTTATTTGTTACTTCTGAATTTCAAAGATAATATCACCGATAATTTATAATTGACTATAGGGGTATGGTTTAATTTTAAGTTATTTTGTTATCTTTAGCTATAAAGTGAAGGGGAATGGTCATATTTTAATTTGTCTTAGCTTGAAACTCAACAGTACACACTCCAAACGTTTTCCACATTCCGAACTGAGAAGGTTAAATCTTGTAACAAATGAAACCAAATAACAAAACTCATTGGTGAAATAGAGATATACTGTCGTTTTGCTGTCGTTTAAAATTCATCAGCATTACATACCATCGAAACAAAAACCAAAAGCATTCCTTTGAGCTATATATCTTCAGCATCAACACAGGATCGTTCCTAACGGTTTTAATTTTCACAGTGAATACAGTGTTATTGATTTATTGGTTTGGAATCATGTGGTTATCATTTTCATCTTGAGTTGTTTTGCGGTTTCGAGAAACCGTTCTCGGATACGATACTTTCTACTTGGTTGACTCCTTAGCTCACGATTTCTCGCTAAAACTCTGAGCAACTTACTCTTGAGAACATGGTTTTTTTATAGAGGCATTTTTTGAAGGTTCGAAAACAAGATTCTCAGACAGAGCTAAAAGGAAAGCAGCAACCTATCTTTAATGTTTGCAACAGTGATTACACTATATTGTTATTCCATATAAGTTATGAGGGATTTTTATTAGATGCCGAGTTCGCGGCTGAATGATATCACTTTTACCATCGGACGTGAAGTTTCTAGGTTCGATCGCATAAAGCATAATTGGTGCGCGTTTCAAACTCAGATAAAAGAAATACCCCTTGCTTCTCAACTTGACTTCAGTCCGTGAGGCAAAGTATCTTCGAGACAAATAAACATATGTGGATAAACAAAGTCTTCTGAAAGCGTTGCATCAAGATTCATGAATCTGAAAATCGTTAGATAATAAATTTCGTGCATTTCGTTGACTTTTAATTCCAGTCTCCGTTTCTATGTTATCTATCTATGTTACCTTCAAACAAAAACATTTTGTGACTATTGTCAAAAAAGGTGAAAGTTTGCACTTCTAATTCTGGGTGCCTGGAATGCGGTATTAGAACCTTGTCTTCTGTGTTGTTTAGTTTGTTGGACTGAAGACTGGAGATAGAGTACGGTACTGATATCGGCCTCAATCTATTATGTGGAGGATTTGATGAGTTCTTCAGTTACTTCCTATGTACAACTAGGTACTTTCGTCACACATAACTTTGAACTGTGAACTCATGGTATGCGTTGGTTCCGTCTATCATATTTTAAAGAATAGATGGGGTCGTTCACAGCCTATTCCATGAGCCTGAATATAGTTACTATGTTGTCTACTCAACACTAACACTGATTGAGAAACTTACTGTTTTCCAAGTTAACATATCAAGTGTATTGTGAATAGGAATCAATGAAAAGCTTCGAACTGAAAGTTTTTGTCTGTTATCAATCACTGCTATAGTGTAGTTTTACAATAGAGGGAACACGCGTTTGTGCATGTCATAACCTACCTCAGTTGTCATCACAAACAAATGAACTATAACTTAGTTCTGCTCGTTGCACCTGACCGTTTTTCCCACTAACTGGTAATTCAGAGTCACTAGTTCTCGTCCTTTTAAAATTCAAATTCGTTTTATTAATTCTCACTCGTCATTGTTAGAATTTTGTAAATGTCATATTTGTTGCAATTTTCAAGTTAATGTATAAGTAATATTTTCCTACTCACATAATATCCCGCCCGATTTTATAGTGATATATTTTTGATTATTCTAGAGATGCTTCAATGATGTCTATGCGACGAGCTATAGAAGGACTCTCAGTAGAGCAAATTAAAGGTCTTAATACTGCTACACTTAATCAGCCGACACGAATGGCTGATTTCGAAGAAGCAGTCGGTCGTGTGTGCAGATCTGTTTCAGCCAGTGATGTTGAACGGTATGAGAAATGGATGACAGAGTTTGGGGCTACATGAACTGTTGATTTACGTTTACCGATGTGGACTTATACCATTCGCACATATTTGATTGGCTTATCCAGGTTTTTACCTTGCAAATAAATGTACTTGATTGTCATATCTCAAACCTACGTATCTCAAATCATCAGATTATATGGATACTACATTCATGGCTCAAATGACTGAATAACTGAATCCAGCCTTCCAATTAATTGCGCTTTACAATTGAGGAAAAAATACATCAATTGCCATGTTTTCTTGTTGGTTTACACTCGAACGTGTTGGTTCCCCTCTATGCTTCCTACCCGTGATGGATATTTTTTCACTTTACACTAGGTAGAATGTTTTTGATTTGATAAATCTTGTATGTCTTTCAGTTGTCCAGAAATAGGCTAATACAATCTTTGTTGATAACTGTATGGGTATTTATTAGCCACATATTCGTTCTATAGAACTCCCCAGTGGATTTATTCTATTGACTGTTTAATTGAGAACCTGTGAAAAATTCCGACTGGGAACGGGAAAGCGATAGTCGATTATGTAATTTCCCTTTCTAATTAGATAACTCCTTATGAGTTGTAAATCGATTGCGTATCATCGTTGTAATTGCAAATGTAATTATTCAACACAATTTCAACGAACATTTTCCACATTGATTTCACTTTAAGACTAGAAATCTTTTGATCAGCTGCCAATGTAACTGTACTTTTCGGTCATTCTGCAATACCTTAATATTCATTCTACAATCTAGCAAACAAAAACTATGTATTCCTGAAAGTGTCGGATTCAGTCATATGAAGGGGTGCCACATTAGTTTCTAGTGGTGATTATTCGTTAGTGAACAATAAATATCATCACTCAACTTCAATTATGCAGTGATCATTACACTTCGCATTAGGGCTGTAAGAGTAGACATACAAAGCTAAAACGTATTGGACAAAATCATCATGACGAATAGTAAGGAGGTGAAGCAATGTTAAGAAATTACTAGGAAGCAAAGCAAAGTATGGAGTAGGATGCAGATTTGAAGGAAAATAACAACATGCTCGTCATTGCAATTAATCTTAAGGCTTATTGTCAAACGTTACAGATTGTCGATTGTTTTACGTAAGCCCACAAAGCTGAAAATAACAGAGAATTGTGACATTTCGATGTGACTACTTCGAGGCTGCTCTCCTACCTCAGACATGTATATATAATTTGAAGCTACTTTTGGTGGATTCTCATTTTTATAGCTTGTTGAAAGTGTATGATTTTATTTGGAGGACAGAAACGAAGAGACTGGTTGGTGTGGGAAACCATACGTTAATGTATTCTGTGGTGTTCGTGCTAAGTAATAAATGTTTTGTAAATTGTTACGCGTCTGTTTGGAATTACGAGGTTATACCTTCAATTCTGCTCACTGTATTCTCTATTACTTGAGTGCTGGTGGATTCGTGATCACTAGATTACGTATTGGACAGTTCTAGGAATTACCAGTTCATATTACCGAATTCGGTACTACTGCATCTACTCATCACAGTTTTTGTACTTAAAAGTTTAACCATTGAGACAGTGAAATAATATTGAACATGCAGCTCACAATAAAGTGGACAACATGTACAGACCTCGTTGTAATAGTCATTCACTCAAGATTTCGAATCATGTGTACCGTATGCGTTAGAAGTCAATTTTTCTGACTCACCCAGATCGGAAAATTCGACTGGATGTAACACCAACTGTGTGACGACTATAATCGATTTGACATTCTTTAAGAGAGAATTATTACTACGGAAGATTCTACTTAATGTGAGTATAACTTTAATAAAACAGTGGATTAGACAGAATAATTAACGTTACATGAAAGCAAAAAGTGTATAGGCATTAAAAATGTATATTTAAAATTCAATAGTCAATAAAATGTCTGTAGTTACTTTGTGTTAGTTATTTTTAAGAAATAAGTTTATGAACTATCTAGGAATTTCTGATACATGTGTTTAGTGACCACCGTGATCTTTTCCAGATCCTGGTTTATGACAACCAGTTCCACAATGTTGTGGCTTGTCATGAGATCCATGACCAGCACCCTCTTTGTCGTGGCAGTCTTTCACACAGTGTTCAGACGATTTGCAATGCTCTTTGTTGTCATGACCATGTCCGGCTTCTTCATGATGTTCGTGATGATGTTCAGCTGAAGTGAAGAATATGAAGAAATCCAATTAATCAAGTCTACTGTGTGGATGAGCCATCCATTTGATTTTTTGGGTGTGAGTTAAAAACAGAAAACCGGCCCTTTATAATTAAAGATCAGTCATGGCTTAGTGCATACTCATTTGGTAATAAATATTTTATTTTTGAATAATTATGTTTACTAATGTTCGTACGTCACTGCATTATGCTTGAAGCACAAATTTAGTAAAACGCACGAACGGAAATAAACGTTAACCCAAACTCACACATAAACCTGAAACCTTAAACAACAGTCAAGATTGTTTGTCATGTCATATTGATAGTCATGCCTACGTACATTAATGGTTCGTGTTGTCAAGAAATTAACCACTGACATTGATTGTGAATATAATCTGTTGAAAGCATTTTATACTAAGATAATGTGAAGTCATTATTTATAGACGTCAAATAATTAGGCTTTGTGTAATGTGTGAACTTAAACTATGTAGTTTACACGAGGGACATCTATAAGTTTTGATATGATTGTTTAACACGAGCTGAATATATGACGCTCCAGTGGAACAGTAGTAAACATGGTGATCAATAGGCATTGCTAGCATTCTAATTGTTAGTTGGTTTCTGCCCACTATTCTTGTAAAGCAATTTGGAATGTGGTGACTGCTTGCAAATATCCAACGCACATTTTGTGGTTCATTCTAGACAACACTAGAGGTCAATGAAGATAACTGTATACTTCAGAACTGGGTGATGCTGGTACAAATGTTCTGAACGTTGTACTCAAATGATGTACGTTAACCACATGTTTGGTTAATAGATCCAAAGACTGCAGTATGAAGGACGAATAGTTTATTTGGCTATACCCGGAGGTGGGTGAGTGTGAGACTAGTACTAGACTGGATATCGAGTGTATGAAAGAGGCATCCCTCATGAGTGGTGACACAATAAATGGAACTTTGACCGTGAGCTCTTAGCTAGTTTAGTAAGGTGAGAAGATGTGTCTAAAACATACTGAACTGCAGAATCCGATGAGTTGTTTAGATGAATTAGTTTAGCAATCAAATGGTTAAAGAGTTCAGTTCATCCATGAGGAACCATATGTGGTGACTGCACATGGATAATACAATTTCGGTGTGCAGAAGATGTAGGCTTTTCAAATGACTCTCACCACTTCGATAAATAATAACTGTCGAAATCTTTTGCTTAGTTACTATCATATACTGTGTATTAGGGGATCAATTCCTTTAGTTAACTTACAAACATTACGTATCGTATAATGGAGGTGATTAGCTGAAAGTCTTGCGTGTAGAACTAGTGCTTTATTAGAATTCACTGGGAAGTGTATTTGCATCTCAGAAATAGCACACCTCGAATATTTTGAAGTGCATCGTTGAATTATCGAAGGAGTTTATCTCTGGGCAATATAGATTCGAGCTTTGTAAAACGGAATTCATACCACAGATTTTCTCGGTTAAAATGTCAGGCGTTTGAAGTAATGGTTGGTAAAATTATATTCCAACGGAAATGTCAATAATTTGTCAGGTGCATATATCCGTCTTCAGGAGAATACAAAAGTGTGCACTATCCACCTCTGAATATCGACACGAAATCTTCACAAGTACTTAGCATGTGAAATATGACGTGATAAGTAAAACCCATCTTCGTTGTTAGCCATAATAATGAGTGAAACTAGTGGTTAGTGCAGTGACTCCTGTCAATGAAGATACTTCTGCATAAATGCGTTTGGCTGAAACCGTATGAAGAGTTTTTGTGTCTGGAGAGGCAAGTTTATGACAATCAAAGTGGTCAGTGTCAAGAAAGCTTATGTGATATGTGATGAACCAAACCTGTTATGTAATTACGTATTATTTTGATATAGAATAAGATTTGGACTTAAAACTACATTGAATGTTGTTAAGTCAATGTTTGGCTCTGAAATGAGCCACCATTGCTTATGGATTCCATCTGTGATCAATAATTCACCCGTTTCCTTAATAACATAAAAATAGTTTTTGGTTGAAAGTGAAAGAAACAGATATAGTTTACTGCAAAGTCAAATGTTAGACGAAATTGTTGAATATAATGAGTGTATTTAACGTGATGAAGACTTTGCAACAGTACTTATTTACCGACAGCAAACTGTTGGTTTTGCATGTGCTAGTAGATTTTGATGATTAAATAGATACAACCAAATCATCCACATGCATAATACTACTTCAACCTCATTCAATGGTATGACATGTCGTCGATACTCGATCCAGATATTTCGACTACTAACGTGCTTAATCTCTACCAGTTCATCATTCAAAACGAACCATCTGCAAATGCCATGTGTTACGACCACTGGAAATCCATTCTATATTTCCCAATACCGCGGTTTTACACTACACTGTTAGACAATTAGACTCAGTATACTAACAAACTTTATTACTACTCAAGTAACTCAGCATAATCATTACAATAGTATGAGTTAAAGCGTAATTTTAAAAAGGTATAGTTCACTTACCTCCATGAGAAGACATGGTTGATAATAACTGCTGTTTAGTTTACGAGTTACTTTATATTCTGCCCGTGCACAGCTTCGTTTATATAATGGAAAATTTACTTCCGGTTTGATTAATTAATTACCCAATATCAATTGTTGTTATGTTGTGGTTGGTTAGATATCTGCAAATTGTTTCAATGAACTGACAGTTTATTCATATGTATCAACCATACAATTCATGAATTAATTATCATGTTTCATTCTATTGTATGCAAATATAAAATATTTGAAAGTGATTTCGTTTGAATAAACAATTTATATGTTGAATTTTTGAGTTTGACATTATTATGGTGACCTAAAATTAGTC